CCAAAACCAAAAAAACCAAAAACCAAAAAACAAAAGGAAATTATCTTTAAACTGTGGGATTTTTGTATTTTAAAGCTCCATTTCCTTTCGTCGAACTGCGCGTGGCTGAGATGCCTGGTGACCCTTGCTGTGCAATCATCCCACGGAAAAACTTTGCTGCTCCGTCTGTCGGGCTGGACTGCCTTTCTTTCTTTCTTTCTTTCTTTCTTTCTTTCTTTCTTTCTTTCTTTCTTTCTTTCTTTTTCTTTCTTTCTTTCTTTCTTTCTTTCTTTCTTTCTTCTTTCTTCCTCTCTCCCTTCCTCCCCTCCCTCCCTCCCTCCCTCCCCTCCCTCCCTTCCTTCCTTTCTTTCTGAGTTAGGAAGAGGTAATGTGACTAGCATTTAAAAAAAAAAGAAAAAGAAAAAAAAAGAAAAGACACAACTAGACAAAACAAATCTACCTTTATCATGGCAAACGTGAGCAGTACAATGAAAACAAATAAATCACAGAAATAGCTTTTTCCCCTGTGGCTTTTCTTTTTTCTTTTTCTTTTGGTCTTCCGTACATTTCTTTCATGGCTATCAGTCCAGCTTGGTCTTGGCCAAAGTAAGGAGCCCATAATCACAGACCTGAGACCACATATCTTGAAATTACCCCCGACGTTACACAAAGAGAGCGAATGCACCATTTTGAGTCCAACTTGTAGGACTTGTTTTTACACAATACTTGAAACTGATAATTTCGTTGTGAACCATATGGGAAGATTTAAAAGTTTAAATAAAAAATAAAAAGGAGGCAAGCAAGAAAATTGACATACGTACTGTCCCAAACCCTCGACCTGTATTTCCATCTCCAAAAAAGAAAACTAAATTAGCCAAGCCCACTCTACCAGCGGGAAATTTCTCATGCGTTTTGGGGGCAACAGACATACACCTGGGCCGTGCCAGACCTGCCAGTTGCGACTTTCCTGTAGAGTGGGGAGGAAGTGAGGTAGGGTCTGTCTGGAGCCTGAAGCGCCGAGGGACACCTACCCCACTTCCCCAAAGTGCCAGCCCACAGAATTTCAAAGTAATGAAGGAGTTGCGCGAGCCCCCTTAGTCTCTGAAGACGCAGAGGGCCAGGAGATTAGCTAAACAGTGGCGGGGAGGAGCTGTTCTACACTGGATCTTTGTGGAAAAACAGGCTCCGAAGTGTGACGGGTAGATGCCCCTCTCTCTTGGGTCTTTAAACTCCTCACGTTCTCAGGCCGGTGCCTAGAGCTGAAAACAGGACGCACGCCGCCGAGGTTGAGGCTAGACTCCTCCCGGCAAGGCCACCTCATTTGGACTGCCCTTCATCTTTAAGAAACCTGTACTGAGAAAGAGCTTTGCTTTAAAGCCTACGTTTATTTGTTTATTCCAAGCTGCTTTGGAGGAGGAGACCTGTTCTCCGAACCCGCCTGAGTCCCCTTATAAGAAGGCGGCTCCTTCGCCATTATCTGACCATTACCCAGGCTTAGGGCTTCTTTAACACATTTAGGACTTGGCTCACAGGCTTTCAGAGGCACCATTTCGCTGCGTTTCGCACCCCCTCCCAGATCTGTGTTTAGGGGAAGGTTAATCAGGTTTTCATTCTCCCCTCATCCCCAACACCGTTGGGAGGAGATGGTTCATTAGCTGCAGAGCTGGAAGGCTGGAAGGCAAGGCTTCTCTGCCCACAGATTTATGTGCCAGGACTGGGGAGTCTCAAGTTTTGGCGACCCTGTGTGTGAGCCTACATCTAAATCTGAGTGAGCCCGTTTTCTTCGTTCTCTCTCTCTCTCTCTCTCTCTCTCTCTCTCTCTCTCTCTCTCTCTCTCCCTCTCTCCCTCTCTTTTCAGCCAAGGTCTGTTCCTGCACCCTGGGGCCTAACCTAGACTGACTTTCAACATGTCCGACATTTATCGAATAGGAATTAACAAGTCATTCCACGACATTTTTGGTTACTTTATCTCTTTTTTCCCCCTTTGGAGTCGAAGGTAATGAGTCCTGTAAGCAGTTTCTTTGTAAACATCTGAGTGTTTGAGAGTTTATTTTACTTTTGGAAGTTGGGGCCAGGTTAGCTGAGGCTACAGTAGTGACTTGGAGCTTCAGGAAGCCTGGAGTTGGGGACGCCTGACTAGGGGCTTCTCCGGCCAAAAGGGTAAGAGGACGCCAACTAGTTGCTCCCTGTGGCACACCCACCTCAGTCGCCTCTCTCTTGACATCCCGCCCCCCAACCCCCAAGGTTCTTCTCTGGAAGTGAGCCAGGAGCCTCAAGGTGGAGGAAAGTGACTTGTCTGGTCTCTGGCTTAGTCCAGGTTCAGTACCAGTACCGAGGTCCAAGCAGAGCTCAGTTCTTTGCGGCAGACAACACCTTCCACTTTTCATTTCTGAACTTCTGGGCACATAGAAAAGTGACCCCAAAAGGGTTTTGGAGTGAGGCTAGGAAGGTCCCTGAAAGGAGGGAGCCAGTGCTTCCCCAGAGCATCCTGTGTCCAGTCCCCTCCACCCCCTCTTCCTCAGACTTTTCAGTTTTGAATTTGAGACTTTGACTAAACTGTTCACACTTTGACCCCGGGGTATGGTGTCCTGGGAGCCCCATTTGTAAAGACAGCCTAGACACTTGTACACCCGTGCAAGCAC